GATGGAGCTGTCAGGGAGAGAGCCCTGGAACCCTCGGAACATGGAAGGTTCCTCTGTCCTCGCTTTTCCTGTGAACTCAGCCTGAAGATCCTATATGATTGTGGGGCTGGCCTACAGAATAAACCTGTTTGCTTTGTATCTGGAAAAAAATATAAATTAAAAAAAAAATAATAAAACTCAGTTCCAGCCTCAGCTTCTATTTGCCATTAAAAAACAAAAATGGGCTGAGTGGTGGTGGCGCACACCTTTAATCCTAGCACTCGGGAGACAGAGACAGGAGGATCTCTGGGTTTGAGACGAGCCTGATCTACAGAGTGAGTACTAGGACAGCCAGGACCACACAGAGAAACCCTGTCTCCAAAAAGCAAAAACGGGAGGGGTGTGTGTGTAAGTGTGGTAGCACACACCTTTACCCCAGTCATGGGTTAGAAGAGGCAGGTGGATCTCTGAGTTTTGGGGCAGCCAGGGTTGCATAGTGAGACACCCTGCCTCAAAAACAAGCGAAAGAAGCAAGGCAGGAAAGAAAGGAAATTAGAGACTCTAAGGATATTGAAGTAAGCCAGCAGTCACAGAGTGCTAGCAAGTTCTGGGTCAACTTGACATAAGCTAGAGTTACCTGAGAAGAGGGAACCTCAATTGAGAGAATGCCTCTGTAAGATACAGATGAAGGGCATTTTCTTAATTAATGATTGACGGGGAAGTGGGGGGAGGGGGATATGGCCCAGGCCACTGTGGGTGGTGCCTTTTCTGCATTCTGTAAGAAAGCAGGCTGAGCAAACCAGGAATAAGCCAGTAAGCAGCACCCACCCCTTTGTGGCCTCTGCATCAGCTCCTGCCTCCAGGTTCCTGCCCTGTTTAGGGTTCCTGTCCTGGCTTCCTTCAGTGGTGAATGGTGATGTGGAAGCGTAAGCCGATGAACCCTTTCCTCCCCAGGTTGCTTTGGTCATGGTGTTTCGTCACAGCAACAGTGACCCTGACTAGGACACACAGAGACACAAGTCGGGTGTGATTCTGAGGAACCCGCCTGGCTCCATTTGGAGGGCAGGAGCCATTATGCTGTATTGTTAAAAATAAGTTTCTGTTTACTCTAAGAGCTGAGCTGTTCTGTTTCCTGGAACCTGACCTTCCCCAACCCATGACCTTGACTCATTTTTGAGAATACCCTTACCCTCCCTAATCACACGGTGACCACACTCAAGAGCCCAGAGCAGGTCTGAACATGAGCCCACCTACCCAGCTTCTTGTACTGCTTGAGCCTTGCCCTAAATTCTCAGTCACAGGGAGAAGAGTTGGTTAAAAATAAAGACAAGAGCCCGGCTGTGTCGAGAGCTGTGTTGAGATAACCACAGACTTGTGTTAGCAACCCCTCTGTTAAGCTTGTACAAACACTATGTTATCACAAATTGTACTACTAATTGTAAAATGTTATCCAAAGTTGTAAATTCCTGGAATGTACCATCATCCAGGACTTAATCTCAAATTGTAAAAATTCTTTTTCTTATATCACCCCTGAGCAGCCCCCCTTAAAGGACCTACTCCCTCTGGTCGGGTCACAGAGCACATCCCAGCCTGCCTGTGGCCCTAACTAGTTAGAAGTTCTGGTACCCCAGGGTGATGGAATAAAGTTGCTTCTGCTCATACAAGGTTGGCAGCCTCGTCTTCGATATTTGCACAATTCCCAGACCCAGCACACACGATGTTTTTTGGAGATTTTTTTTCTGTATTTTCTTATTGCCCAATCGTCTCTCTTCTGTAAAACAGCTTTGCAACTACTCCTGATTTTACTCCTTAAAAGGGGCCCAAGACATGGATTCAGACTGCTCTCTTTAACCCGACTTAGGAGGCAGGCACTGGCCACCCCAATAAAAATCAAGCTCACTTCAAATTTGGCTCAAATTGAGGTAGTGGTTTTATTCTCGTTGGGGGATTAACAATTCCATTTTACAAGTGCAGATCCCAGAGACAGAAGGGAGAAAGCTGGGAGGGGAGAGGAAGGGAGAGCTGGACTTGGTGGCATTTCAGCTTTACAGGGTTGAGAGAGTCAAGGAGGTGAATCTATTTGTGCGGGTTATTAGTGTATTCAATACAAGCTAGAGAGGGCAGAGAGGCATCTGTACACACTTTCACTGTCATTCACCATGGGAACGAACAGGGACACCACAGCACAGCCGTGCACAGTGCCACACACCTGTGATCACAATGCTCAAGAGGCTGTCAGGGGAATCTCCAGTTCAAGTTCAGCCTGATTTACCTAGTGAGAGTGTGTCTCAAAAAGCAAAGCAAGCCAGGCAGTGGTGGTGCACACCTTTAATCCCAGAACTTGGGAAGCAGAGGCAGGTGGATCTCTGTGAGTTTAAGACCAGCCTGGTCTACAGAGTGAGTTCCAGGACAACCAGGGCTACACAGAGAAACCCTGTCTTGAAAAACAAAAAACAAAACAAAACAAACAAAAAAGAAAAAACAAAACAACATCATAATATCACTTTAAATTCACTGGGTGGTTAAAATGAAAATGAGTAATACAACCAGATGCTGGGACGGCTGTGGAGAAGATGGACTACTCACACATTGGCAAGGGGAATACAAAACAGTATAGCTCTTGTAGAGTTAGTAATTTCTTTTTTTATTTTTTTAAGATTTATTTATTAATTATGTATACAATAAGCCTGCATGCCAGAAGAGGGCACCAGATCTCATTATTGATGGTTGGGAGCCACCATGTGGTTTCTGGGAATTGAACTCAGGACCTCTGGAAGAGCAGGCAGTGCTCTTAACCTCTGAGCCATCTCTCCAGCCCGAGTTAGTAATTTCTTATTAAACTAAACACACAGGTGCTAGGAAGCCAGCTTTGTCAAAAACTTCCAACTTTCCAGGACGGTCACCAGAACCCCCAGTAACAGGGAAAGGACATGCACCAAACCCCTTGTGCAGTTCAGCAGCTTCCAGTTTCTGGGTGTTTGTTTGTTTGTTTGTTTGTTTGTTTGTTTGTTTTCAAGACAGGGTTTCTCTGTGTAGCTTTTTGGATCCTGGCCTGGAACTCGCTCTGTAGACCAGGCTGGCCTCGAACTCACAGAGATCCGCCTGGCTCTGCCTCCCGAGTGCTGGGATTAAAGGCATACGCCACCACTGCCCGGCCAGTTTCCAGTTTTACCAATAGATTGTAACTCCATCCAAGTACATCTCTTGAGCCATCCTATCTCTTATCAAAAGACAGAGAACAGGCTGCAGAGATGGCTCAGTGGTTAAGAGTACTGGCTACTCTTGCAGGGGACCCAGGTTCAATTCCCAGCACCCCCATGCCAGCTCACAACCATCTGTAACTCTAGTTCCCAGTAATCTGATGCCCTAGTTTGGACTCCTTATACCAAGCACACACATACCATACAAATAAATATAATAAAGAGGGACTGAAGAGATGGCACAGTGGTTAAGAGCACTGACTGCTCTTCCAGAGGACCAAGTTCAATTCCCAGCACCCACATGGAAACTTACAACTTAACTGTAACTCCAGGATCCAACACCCTCATACAGACATACATCCAGGCAAAACACCAATGCACAAAAAATAAAAATAAATAAATTAAAAAAAACACACACATATAATGAAGAAATAAATGTAGTGTCAGTGGTGATATCATTTTTTTTGGCTCAGTTTTTGTAACAATTTGGGTACCCAATAAGTTCCTTAAATAAACCACATTTTATCTTGCCAGTAGCCCCATAAAGTAGGATTTATTTTTTATTTATTTATTTTTTTGAGGGAGGTTCAAGACAGGGTTTCCTGGCTGTCCTGGAACTCACTCTGTAAACTCACTCTGGCTGTCTCTGGATCCACTCAGCCCTGGCTGTCTCTGGAACTCACAGAGATCCACCTGCCTCTGCCTCCCCAGAGCTGGGCTTAAAGGCGTGCGCCGCCGCCGCCGCCACCACCAGGTTGGCTTTTTTTTTTTTTTTTAATGTCCATTTATAGATGGGGAAATACTAGACTCGGGGTGTTAAATAAATCACCAAAGACCACACAGTAATAAGGGGACAGAGTTCATCCCTTGGCTGCAAAAACGGAATTTTTACCACTGTGTCTTCGGACTCCTCAGAATCTGGGTTTAGTGCATTTTCTGGGTCTCCTTTCTGTTATATTTTCTTTTTAAACGTGTCTAGTTCTGAATGAAGTATTATTTCCCATTAATGCTGTTATATTGTGTCCATTTGTTTTCCATGGCAATAGAAAAACCTTCACACACACCTCATCCCACCAAGTTCAACCAGTTAATCCGCTTTGCACAGAGGTAGGACAGACTTCCGCCAGGTGGGGGCGCTGTGACACATTCTCACTCCAGGACAGCAGGCTACTGAGCCCAGAGCCTCTGTAGAGAGCAAGGATTCACCAGCACAGACATGTATCCAAGGACGCGTCAGATTATTTGACGCCATGTGCATTCATTCCTCCAAAGAACTCTGGATGAACTTCAATAACCAGAAGTTCGTGCTTCTGGTTCTTGGTCCACACTGCCACCTTTGAGAGCCAGGTCTGTGGGGGAAAGCAAGCTCGTCCACCTTTGAGAATCTGTCTCCCTCATCTGCAGGGACAAACAGCAAAGGAGCTTGGATCACGGCCTCTAATGCCAGCTCGTCCACGGGCAGCTGCCTGGTCCTGAGCCATCAATGACCCATCTGAGCTTGGGCAGCTGGGAAATTAGAGATGAAAGATGCCAAAATCCAAGTCCACAACTAGAAACCCAAAGCTAGACTGTCCCCTCCCCTGAGTCGAGGGGAGAGAGCCCAGGAGTCCCTACCCAGAATCCACGCCTCCTTCACACCTGAAGAGTCGCTACGGCTCCAAGTTCTGGCACAGCCTGGATTGAGCCGGTGGGATGGAGAAGCCTGAGGCTACCCTAGAGGCGTGTTTTGCCCCTCACCGCGCTGGGCGCCGGCCTCCCACCGCAGTCAGTTTCTCTTTCTCTTTGCGATCCCCTCGGGCCATTGTACCGAGGAGCAGGTCTCTGCCAATCGAGGGGACAGCGGGTAGGAGGGAAGGTGGGCAGGAGCCTGCTGGGCTCGATCGCCCAGAGCCCTCCCATTCCGGGGGCTGAAGCAGGAAGAGGGTGGGGCCTGCACTCACATGGCCCAGGAGGTCACTCGCATTTCTGGGGTCTCCCAAAACCGGAGCCTAGACACAGGAAATGCAATCCCAGCGCGTGGGGCCCAGAGCTGGGATGGGACCAACCTGCCCGGGATGCCGGCGTCGCAGACCCTACTCACCAATCAGGTACCGCTGGCCCCGCTACTCCAAGATTTCCCCTGCAGTCTCTTCCTGGGGGCCCCCATTGTGCTATGTGCTGGGCCTCTCCTCCAGGTCCCCAACCCTGCGACTCCTCTCTCTCTCCATGATCCTCTGTAGCCCCCTCTCCCTTCGAGGGTCCCACGGTTGCCTCGTAGCTGCTTTTACACTGGCCCCCTGGCACCCCTCTCCATATCTCCCATATTTCTTCCTCTTAAAACTCCTCCTCAGGCTGGGGCTGCTCGTCCGTGGGTCTTTCCGCTGATCCCGGGCTGGGCTGTGCGTCTGAATTTAAAGAAAAGTCCATGGAAGCGAACTTTGGAGCACTTTCGATGGATGTTCTAGGCTCTCCATGCTGTTCTAACCCAATCTCGGGAGAAGAGGGGGCCACTCTGATGTGAATCACCTTTCCCGAAGTAGCCTCCCCGGGAAAGAAAGAGTGAAAAGAGAAGTCCCTCAACACACCCACTTCCTGGATGGCCACTGTGACCCCTCACAACCACACCATTCAGATAACGTTTGAGAAAGAGAATAAGAGTAGGGGGCGGGGATGGCACTGGGGAGATTGGCGCTTCAGTCAGGAACGGTTTCTGCTTCCACGGAGGACCCAAGTTCAATTCCCACAATCAGTTGCATCTCCAACTTCAGGGGATCCAAGGCCCTCTCCCGACCTCCAGGCATCCCAACATGCACATATTCTTACACACGCACAAGTACGCGTATCCAATGTCAAGAGATGTAAACAGCCGGGCGGTGGTGGCGGCGCACGCCTGTTATCCCAGCACTCGGGAGGCAGAGCCTGGTGGATCTCTGAGGCCAGCCTGAGCTACAGAATGAGTTCCAGAGCTACGCAGAGAAAACGTTTTAAAAAACCTAAATAAATAAATAGACATAAGCCTGTGTGTGTGTGTATACGTATATATGTATACATATATACATATGAATATGAAAGTTACACCCCCAAACTGCCTACTCCCACAGGTGACTCTCACTGATTTCTATCCCCTCTCCTGGTGCTTTTGATCTCGATTAAAGAATTCCTTGGACGGCTCATGTGTAAGTAGAAGGCCGGTCCAGTCAGTGCCAAGAAGATGGAGGCATGAGAGTGGTCGGCAACCAGAGACCACTGGCCCTCCTGCACCCCAAGCAGCCATGTGTAGGGGGGTGGGGAGATGCAGGCTTTCAAGGCTAGTACTTTTACCTGCTGAATCATCTTCCTGGCCCATAGTGGGGTTCCCCTCCTCCCCGTCTTTAGAACGTTCACCTTCTCCTGAGCAACTTGATTCTATCTAGTGATGGATAGACCTGTACAGAGGACCGTCAGGAGAGGCCTCAGCAAGGCATATCACAGAAAAGCATGTCTTTAATCTTCCACAGAAAGATTCCCTGAAGCCAGGTATAGGCACTTATCTGTTAATAGCCTTGGCCCATGGGTGGCCTTGAAACCAGGCCGGGATGTCACCTCTCCTCCCTGTGACAGAGATAAGACTCTTTCTTCTGACCAGGGGTTGATTGAAGTGTGGGTCTTCCGGCCTTTTGTTCTCCAGGCTGCTGACTGTGAGGGAGGGGTCCAGGCTGATTCCCTCCACTAACTCTTAACCATTGTCCTAACAATATCGGGGACCAACTGGTCTACCAGGCATCCAGTTCTTTCCCACCAAGCTCTATGATAGGGGATCTCTGCCTCCTGGTTTTGGGTTGTTACTGTGTTGTGGGATTTTGTGGTGGTGGTGGTGGTGGTGGTGGTGGTGGTGGTGGTGGTGGTGGTAGTGATGATGGTAGTTTGGCTGCTTTTGGCTTTTTTTCAGACAGGATTTTGCTATGAAGCTTTGGCTAGCCTTGAACTCACTATATAGATCAAGCAGGACTCAATCTTATAATAGTCTCCCCCTGTTCCTGCTCCCCAAAGGCTATAGTTACAGGCTTGGGCTTACCCTGTCTATTAAATGGGAACATTTCCTGCAGGGTCATGGAAGGATTTTTATGAGTTCAGACCCAAGAAATGCTGAGACAGTAGATTGTCTATGTGAAGGTAGGAATTTCTCTGACAAGATCTCTCTCTCTCTCTCTCTCTCTCTCTCTCTCTCTCTCTCTCTCTCTCTGTGTGTGTGTGTGTGTGTGTGTGTGTGTGTGTGTGTGTGGTTGTATACATGTGCTCACATCTGGGAGCCAGAGGTTGATGTCCAGTGTCTTCCTCAGTTGCACCCCGCCTTATTTCTTTGAGTTAGGACCTTTCAGTGAAACAAGCTTGTGGATTCCAGTTGGCTGGCCAAAGAGCTCCTGGGGTCCTCCTGTCTCCGCTACCCCAACTCTGGGGTTATAGATGCACACCCCTGTGCTTGGCTTTTACATCTGCTCTGAGAACTGGGACTTGGGTGTAAGCACTTTATTACTGAGTCATAGCTCGAGTACCATTTCCTGGATTTTTAAAACCTCCGTACTCGATAGAGGTGTCGAGTCAGGAAGGAGCTGGGGTGAAATGCTAAACGTTATTATTCCTCAGGGTTGGAAGAGTTCTGCACCTCCCGAGTTCTCAGGTAGGGGCTCCGCTGGAAGGACCAGCCCTGGGACGCGGGTCGGAGGGGACTGCTCCGACGGCAGCATTTTCTCTCCTTTCCCCCATCTTCCCGCTTGCGGGAACTGTCAAAGGTCGACGTGAGGCGGTGTCTCAGGGCTCCGGGGGCCTTGTTCTGCTTGGAGTCCCTCCCGGGCACGCGCTGCAGCTTGTTTTCTCCCTCATGCCTGCAGAAACCCGATAAAGCTGTTGTATCAAAGAACCTTCTACTTCCACTTTAAGAACCTACGCTTCGCCAACAGCCGGAACAACACCTTCTTGTGCTACGAAGTGAACGGGATGGAGTGCGACGAACTCGTCCCCCTTTACCAGGGGGTCTTCAGAAAAGAGGTATTGGGGTCGGAGGTGCAGCTCAGTTGGTAGACTGTTTACCTAACGTGCACGGAGTCCTGGGTTTGATCCGTGGCGGCCCCAGAAAACCCAGGCACAGTGGCTCATACCTGTAATCCTAGCTCTCAGGAAGGCTGGCAGTGCAAGATCATCCTGGGTGATGTAGAGGCTGGGGCCAGCCTGGGTGATGTGAGATCTTCTCCAAACAAACAAATCAATAAATGCCAAGGGGCTGCAGAGGCATGGAGAAGACCAGAGTTTGGATCCCGGGCATCCATGTAAAAGCCGGGTGGACATAGAGGGCAGCTACAATCCTAACCTATGGGAGGCAGAGCCCGGGAAGTGCCAGGGCAAGCTGGCTCACTGAGCTAGGTGAGGCATTGAGCTCTGGGTACAGTGGGGGACCCTGCCTCAATGTGGAGAGTGAACAAGAAAAACATCCAGTATCAAGTTCTAGCCTCCACATATACATGCTCCAGCACACGTGTGTTCCCACACATGGGAACACACACACACACACACACACACACACACACAATCTAAATAAATAGATTGCTCAGGCTCTCCTCAACCCATTGAGAATATAGAATGATTAATGTGGCTGGGCATGGTGGTGCACACCTTTAATCCCAGCATTCAGGAGGCAGAGGCAGGAGGATCTCTGAGTTCAAGGCCACCCTGGTCTACAGAGCCAGCTCCAGGAAAGCCAGGGCTACACAGAGAAGCACTGTCTTGAAAAGCCAATAAAATAAAATTTTAGAGGAAACAAAATGACTTGTGTGTTGCGTACATGCTGTAAATGTTAACTCAGATGAGCCACATTTCAAGACTCGGTAGCTACCCACGGCCAGCTAAGGGAACAGCAGATGATAACTAGCCGCCCAGTGGACCAGGCTACAGGAGGGCTTAGTACTACTGAGAGATGCCAGGGAGACGCAGAACGGATGTGGGCTTAGTAGCCAAACCTGGAATGGTGAGGGATGCAAAATTAACAAAGGAGGACGGGGAGGGATGGAGACACAGAACCAGTCCAGTGCCAGGTTCCTGCCTCCACACGCGGCCTGCCCCTCCCCTCCCATCATGGGTTCCCCCTTTCTTTCCCAGGATGACATCCATGCTGAAGAATGCTTCCTCGACTGGTTCCACGGCCAAGTGCTGGAAGTGTTGTCCCCTAGCAAAGAGTACAAGATCACCTGGTATGTGTCCTGGAGCCCCTGTGGCAGTTGTGCCGAGCAGGTGGCCAGGTTCCTGGCCACCCACCGCAACCTGAGCCTGGCCATCTTCAGCTCCCGCCTCTACTATTTTTGGGACCCCCACTACCAGCACAAGCTTCACAGGCTGATTCAGGCGGGAGCCCAGATAGCTGCCATGGACTTCCCAGGTGAGGGGTGGGCGTCAGGGCTGCAGGAGGGCCTGTGGGTCTGCCACACAGTGAAGGGGGAGCAGCCGGGGAGCCAGCCTTGAGGGACTGTGGAGAGCCCTGCTGGCGCCTGACTGCCTTCTCTCCTCTTCTGTCTCAGAATTTAAAAAGTGTTGGAACACCTTTGTGGACAATGGCGGCAAGTCTTTCAGGCCTTGGAAGAAACTTAAAATCAATTTTAGGTTCCAGGATTCCAAGCTCTGGGAGATTCTCAGGTGAGGGGCTTTCTTATGCCGGGCCACCTCCTCTCTTCTCCCTCCTCCCAGACCTCCTCTTTCTCTGGGGCATCTTTACCCACAAGGCTCTTCCCACCCCGTAACCTGGTGTCTCCGATCATGACATCATGATTTAGCAGAATCCTCTTGCTAAACGGAAACAAATTGGTGTATGCGTAAGCATGGAGGTTGTAAGGTAGAGACTCCAAAAAGGCAGCCTGGAGGAGGTGAAGAGATGGCTCAGCAGTTAAGAACAGTGGCTGCTCTTCCTAGAGGACCTGGGTTCAATTCCCAGCGCCCACGTGGCTGCTCAGAACTGGACATAACTCCAGTCCACGGAAATCCAGAACCCTCACACAGACACACATGCAGGCAAAACACCAGTGCACGTAGAAAATAAATTTTATTTTATTTTATTTTATTTTTTTATAAAAGACAGCCGCTGCAGTGGTGGCACACATCTTTAATCCCAGCACTGGTGAGGCAGAGGCAGGCGGATCTCTGTGAGTTCGAGGCCAGCCTGGTCTACAGATCAAGTTCTAGGACAACCAGGGCTACACAGAGAAACCCTGTCTTTATTTTTATTTATTTATTTATCTATTTTGGTTTTTTGAGACAGGGTTTCTCCGTGTAGCTTTGCACCTTTCCTGGAACTCATTTGGTAGTCTAAGGCTGGCCTCGAACTCACAGAGATCCGCCTGCCTCTGCCTCCCATGTGCAAGAATTAAAGGTGTGCGCCACCACCACCTGGCAAAACCCTGTCTTTAAAAAAAAAAAAAAAAAAAAATGCAGCCTGAGTGTTCACAGGAAGGAAGATGCTGTCAGATTCCCAGCTGCCAGGATGTTACCCACCAGATGCTACGCCAGCCCGCTGTGCCCTCTCCAGGTCCAAGAGGCTGATGGGCAGTTTTTTTCTGAGGCTCTCCCCTGGCTTGTAGATGGTCCCTTCTCGTTGGGTCTCTGTGTGCTGTGGGCCTCCTTTCCTAGCATCCCTCTGTCCAGATTCCCTCTTCCCTTTGTAAGGCTTGGATTAGGACCCATCTAAATGGTTCCATTCTGAGTCCTAAGGCTTAGGGCCTTGAACTTGGGCTCCTTACCGTAAGAGACTTCTTTGTGGATGGAGAGCGCAGAGTTGTCAGGGCCCAGGAGAATCCCTGAGCACGCCCTGACACCCTCTTCCATTTAGACCTTGCTCCACCCTGGACCCCTCCCCATTGTCCCCTCACCCTGTCAAATATCTGTCTGATGTCTCCCAGAGATGAAGTTCTGGGGGGGTGCAGGTGAGCCATGGGGACTGGACAGAGAGGAATGGTGGAATATATACTTACATAAGA